CCCATAATTGTTATCACGCATCCTCAAATCACAACCTCGCGATCATCATCGTACATCCCTCACAAGCGTGTCCATAGACCTACTATACACTCTCCCACATACAGTCCAACCAGATTCTTAATCAATCTTGTGCTAGGCCCAATCTTTATGCGCACCCTCTTTTTTTTGCTAGCGCTTGCAATTTCATACTCCCTCCTATCCAAATGGGCCAAGTCCAATATTTGTACTTGGACCCATACTTACAGCACCCCCCAGTATTAATGCTTAGTTCTAAAATGCACCCATTATCTTTTGGGCCTGAATTCAATATCTGAGTTCATGCCCCTTCTATTAACGCCCTATTGTTTTACTACCTCAATTATATTTACACCCCCCGCGTTTTAATTTAAAATTTATTTTATTATTTTATTTTAATTATTTATTTTTATATTTTATATTTATATTATATATATATATATATATATATATATATATATATATATATATATATATATATATATATATATATATATATATATATATATATATATATATATATATATATATATATATATATATATATATATATATATATATATATATATATATATATATATATATATATATATATATATATATATATATATTGTTATAAATTGAATTAATTATTTTAAACTCATTCTAATATTCTTTATTTATTTGCATTAAACTATATTTCTAATCATGCATTTAAATAAGATATTTTCTATGATTAATATACTAAAAAACATTTAACTGACAATAAATCATTTTCAAATCAAATTAATCCAACAATCAACTTTAAAAGGGATTGTGAATATATTTAAAATCAACTGCCCACTTGGTCTAAACAAACTCCACTATTCACACTCCTAAACTACGTATGCGGGGAATTCAAATATATTTCACAATTCATAAAAAACACAAACCAACTACAAACTACGAAATGGGACTCTGATTTCTCCTAAGAGGATATATAGGCATACGATCAAAATCGTGGCGAGTTCCCCTAATAAAACTTAAAACCCTATCTCCTAAAACGCGCTTCTAAACCTAGTACCCTTGTGAACAAGATAGACAAGGGGTGCCTAACACCTTCCCCTCGTCTAGAACCAATTCAAACTTAGAATCTCTGCCTTTTTAGGGTTATTTCTTTATATTCCCTTTCTTAGGATGAAAATTAAGGGCGACGATTCTGATTTAAAAACTAGTTGCAACAGACGGGAGGTGGTGAAGTGCCTCGAGAACATCCTCCCCAGTTGCTTCCAGGAGGTAACAGATTCATCTGGGAGACTCTTGTACCAAGACATTGCTCCTTTCCTAAGGATGGTCGAGAATAGTCTGCATTTGATGGCGCCCATAACCCCTCGATAATCGAGGAAGGCGTCTATGTTCTTTATATGTTCATCGGGATCGGTCGTACTGTCATATGTTCCCAGTGGAGATGGCTTCTCCAGGCTGATTGGGAGCTGGGCTTCTGTAATCTCTCTTGATAGCGGCCCGCGGAGCTCGTTATCTTCGCTTTCTACGGAAGATGGAGATGAGGAGTGATAGTTCCTTCCCTGTCGAGCATTGTGGTCTCATTAGGGGGAAGAACTCCTTTATTATTGTCTTGGCTTGGGCGATGGTGATCGACCGCGGTCAACTTGGCGGTCACACTTATTCTTCTTGTATGATGGAGAGTCTTGGTCTTTCTTGGGAGGTGGGCGATCGCATTTCTTGAAGATATGCTTGAGGAATCTCTTCGTTTGGGTCTCCGAGGAGGATACTTTGACTGCTTCTTCTCCTTGGCCCATATCTTTTTGCTCTGCTGCATGATAAGGGTGTTGGTCTGGTTGATGGCATCAAGAAATGCTACGATGGCCGGATTGGCATTGTGAGGAATGGTAACTAGTTGAAGGACCTCCAACAGTTCCTCGATGGGGATCTTGGGACGCTTCTCGTCCAAGAATTGTTGATCATCATGTTGGGCATCAATGGATTATGGGGACACAGTCCAATCGTCGAGGAAGCCGAGGTTATCCTCGAGGTGAGGATGTTATTGACTTTTGTTAGTCTTGTGCACTAGAGGAAGTGCAACCTTTCCAGATGGGTGGTGATCATCACGTTTAGCCATGGTTGTTGGATGAAGAGAAACTTTGGTTTTCAGACTTTGAGGAATATAAAATGGGGAAGATAGCTTCCCACAGACGGCACCATTGATCTTACTGGTTGATCAGAACCTGCAAGTTGGCCGGATGATGATCTTCTGCCGGGATGGATTATCGAGGAGGAAAAAAGAGGGATTGTAGCTGCAAGGCACTCTGACGATCAAGTAAGTATGGGAGCAAAGAGCTAAAAGCAAAGTGTTAGGGTTTTAGTAGTGAATAGTAAATATTCGATACCTGGCTCTCACGTGTGTGAGGATTTATATAATTCCCCTAGCGCGTGACCATTGGTTCCTATTTTTAGGCCTAGATATACAGATCAGTGAAAATAGGTAACTGCCAGGACTTGGTCATACAGAGCAGATTTTCCCGTAACTAGTCGTTGGGCCCAAGGAGGAGGTAGGTTACGGGTAGCGGTCTGGTTAGTTCCTGTTTGTCTGGCCGAGTTTCTGGTTGGGTAGACTGGGAGGCGCTCGTCGATTATTGAAGGTTAATGTCGGTCTAAGAGGGAAAACAATCGATGGTGCCTGATAGAGGGCACGAGAGATTCAGGTTGTGTCGTGTTCCCTTCACTGAAGGAGGACTCTAGACTGGGCCTACACAGGCTGTCAAGACAGTCCAGAACATAATTTAAGCGTGTTACCTAAATTTGTAGATGAGAAATAATGCTTAGGAGTTGCTTCCTTTCATTCTTTAAATTAGTAATGACCTTTATTTGTTCTTCCTCCTTCTTGAACATTTCTTCACACCTATCACATGTAACCTTGTAGGACACATCTAGGTATTCATAAATCTTGTTCTCATTACATGCTTAAACTTCATCTACATATCTTCCAGATAGAGCTAACACAAGTTTGGAAATCTCAGAATTATCTTCATCTTCTTACTTACCATCACCATACCAAGATGCAGTGAAACCCTTATGTTGTTTCTTGATGAAGTTGGAACATTCAAGTATAACATGACCGTATCCTTCACATTCAAAACATTGAATGTCTCTGTTTTGACTTGGCTTCTCTTTTGATCTTGTTTTCTTCTGAGAATCAAGACTGTTATTTATGTCATATGAGATATTCTTGACATCTGGTCTCCCTCTTCTGTCTAATCTTTTTAACAACCTATTAAATTCCTTCCCAAGAAGAAGAATGGTATTAGACCGATCCTCATTAATGTCCATCTCAGCTTGACCTTTATCATCTTCAGCATTGGATACAAAAGTTATGCTTTTGTTATTTTTCCTAGCCTTGTCACCAATAGTCAATTTAAATGTTTGAAGTGACCCAATAAGTTCATCAACTCTCATGTTGTTGATGTCCTGAGCTTCTTCAATTGTTGTGACCTTCATGTCAAATCTCCTAGGCAAGGACCTAAGGATATTTCTGACCAACATGGCTTCTGACATCTTCTCTCCTAATGCACTTGATGCACTAGAAATTTTAAGAATCTTCGTTTGATATTCTTGAATTCTCTCATCATCATTCATCTTTAAGTTCTCAAATTTGGAAGTGAGAAGCTGAAGTGGCCGGATGATGATCTTCTTCAAGGCTGGTTTCAGTTTTTATGGTTTCAGTTTTAATCTCTTTTCCTTCTTTGTTAATGACCTTCACAACAGGATGCTTCCATTCTTTCAAAACAGCCTTCCAAGCTTTGTTGTCTATAGATTTCAGTAAAGCTATCATTCTAACTTTCCACGAGTCATCCAACATTGGTGGTTTGTTGTTATATCATCCTTCTTGATCCATAGTACCAGAAAATATATCCATGAATCTCACCCAATAAATAAAAATAGTGTCTGATCTTGATACCAATTGATATTCTGGCACACACAATATCATATGTCAAGACTGATGTCTCAACAACATACAATGCCATAACAGATGTCATGACATCTAATGATAGAGCATCAAACAATAACAACAATTCAGAAATAAAACTTGCAGAAAGTAAAGAAACACATAGAGTTGTTAACCCAGTTCGGTGCAAACTTACCTACTTTGGGAGCTATCCAACCAGGAAGGAAATCAACTATCAGTAGTACTAGTTCAAAGCTAAACTCCCCTGTTTACAACTTATCGCCTAAAACCTACTGTCATACCCCAAATTTTACCTACCCTTATAATTTTATTTAGGGTTCTTTCTAAATAAATAGTATTATTTAGTTTTTGTTTCTATGGGGGAGTAAAACATATAAAAAGGGGTTTGTTGACTTAAAATAGACCATCAATATCTGATGGCCCATTAGATTTTTTTAAAAAAATGGTCTATTTCAAGTAAAAGGGGAGGTGTATTGTTTTAAACCAAAGAGGTATGAACAAATCATTTTTTAAAGCCCATTTAGGTTTTGTATAAGGTTGAAAGGGTGTGTAAAAACAATCTATTTTTTCTAGGCCCAATAGTGAGGCCCGTCTAGTTTATTGATTTGCTTTAAAGACTTTTTTTTATCAAGCATCACATTATTTAAATTATTATTAAATTTTACTATATTAAAATGATATTTGAAAAAAGTATTAACAAAGGGTTTCCTTTCTCACGGCCTATTTGCAAGTCCAAAATAAATTAGAATGCTTGTCCCAAAGAAAAAATAACACAAATAGGAATTGTACGAATTCAAGAAAGAAATCGTGCATGTTACTGCTGTCATCAACAAACATCCTCGCCTTCAATTCTCTAGAAGCAAAACAAACCAAAACAGAGAAAAGATCAAAGCGATTACGGAAACAAAATCAAACTTTATTACAATTCATGATTTTAAAAATTAAAACATAATTAATGATATTTTCTAAATTTCCTAATCAAAATCGATAATCAAGAACATTAAATTTGTTTCCTAATCAATTAATTTAAAATTGCTATAAAATGCCTAGACTAAGAACACACGGCGTTAGAAGCCACTGGCGTCCCTTCCGATCCACACACATCCATCATCAGCGACTTTCCCCTTGCTACCATGAACAAATCATAACCGTCTACCCGTTGCAGCACACCTCCGACGACTCACGCACAGAACACCGCACCACCGCTGGACTCGAGCCCTCCCTCCGATCCGCTGTCGCCACCGGTAACCACCTTTCCTCTAATGTCTTTTAAGTACAATAGTTTTTGCTTTGTTGTTATTTGAGGTTGAATCATGTATGTCTTGAATACTTTCTCGGGTTTAAAAAAGAAATATCCGGTGGATAAAAGAGAAGTTTTGAGATTGCTGTTTGTTTGCAATTTTTCTCTATTAATATGGGGTACTTTTAATTTTTTTCTCTGATATCCCTATTTTACTTTATGTGTAATAGTTGTCTGTTTCCAAGTTTTCATATCACTGTGTAGTAGTCACATTATAACTTTAAGTTTCTTTTTTTTCATCAATAACTCAAGCTTATAAGAATATACGAAAAAAAGGGATATGTCGACCAAAAGCGTTTTAGTTTATCCGTACACTATAGGTATTTCAATTAGTATTTGCACTAACTCATTTACTCATAGGTCATCACGTTTTCATGGACTGGGTCTTGTTGAATTCTTTACTAAAAATTGAAGTCGAACAGTATATCAAAGTTTAATTACAAAAAACATAACATTAAATATTGTAGAGAATTAAACAAAGTAGATATCAAAATGATTTCTCTCTTTTATTTTATTAAGTAGATAGATTTTAGTCATTTATATTTCAATACATGTATATGTGTTGTTAACCCATTTTCTCATTTTATGTATATAAATCCTAATCTCATACATAATTCACCTAATTAAAAGATAATAATAAAAATAGTAAGATATTAAAAATATAAAATATCCAAAAATATGTCCTTAACTTTTAGAATAATTACTAATTAGTACATGATTTCAAAATTTCTTGATTAACTTGAATATCACAAATTTTATGCATAATTATAAATTTCCTTTCAAACCAAAACTAAATCAAACCTTATTAATTATACAAATAATACGATGGATGGTGTGATACGGTGAGAGAACTGACTTGAGGTTTTGCGTTTGTTTTCGCAACGGTTGAGCAAGAGTCGCCACCGACTTTTTATTTTATCCTAAGGAAAGGTTAAAAAGCACAGCAAAAACCTTTGAGATGTTTTCTTGGGTTCGGGGCGTAGATTATAGAAAGGGAAGGTATTAGCACCATTTCTATCCATGGTTATCCATAGGCTCTTAGTTACTTGCTTAGATAAACTTGCCTTGATTTTCAATTGTTTGAAATGGTGCTTTGTGTGTGGGTTTGAAAATGTTTTGAAAAGAGGCCAATGTGGTGGCAACCTTTGTAATGATCCATGTTGGGATGTATACAAAGATGTATGTCTTTTGAAAAGTTTTCAATGTTTTTGAAAGTTGTTTTGAAAGTGTTGTCATGTGTGATTTTGAAAAAAAATAGGCAAGTATTTTCATTTTACAAGTTGGCAAGTAACCAAGAGCTATCTACCCTAAATTTCTCAAAGATCATTGTTATGTTTTTAACCCTTTTAACAATTTTGTTCCACCATTGTATTTGGTGGACAATCTTGTATTAGGATGTGAACGAGACGGGCGCGGGTCATCGTTTAGACCATGATTGTAATGGTGCCAAGTATCTTTGGCAACTTTTTCCTTTGAGGGACTTGATCATTTTTAGGCAACTTTTGAAAGCGTCATCGAGGGACTATGATCATTTGAACTTGTTTTGTTTTGCCAATACCTAACATGCAACATGGCCCATTATTGAAGGCAACAAGTGGAGTAACCCTAGGGGGTGCAAGTGTGATTGGTGTTTGTTCATTTTCATGCTTTTATCTTTGAATTAGGTCAAGCTATTGTTTGGTTGATTTTTGCATACAAAACCCTAATTCTATCATGGCATATTTAGAAAGCTTTTAAATGCGGAATTTAAAGGTCCTAAATTATTACAACACAATTTATGGGATGGGGGGTACAAATGTTCAAATGGAGATAAGACTTCATAGGAGAGTAGTGTCCAATATTTACAACCAAATCGAATTGCGCAAATGTAAATGTAAAGATGTATAAGAATAAAGCAATATGTATGTGTAAATATTTTTTGTGTAAGTGTATGTTTTATTCATAAGCGAAATAAAAATAAATAAAAAAAGGTTAATTTGGATATTTTCATGTTTAGGGCAAAACCCTAATTTTATAAATAAAAAGGTATTTATTATATATTATGCAATATTTTATTAATTATGTACAAAAATAAATAAAAGGAAGTATATTGTAAAAAAGTGATTTTGTAAGTTAAATATTAATAAAAATGAAAAATATATTATTTTTGTATTTTTTAACCTAAATATACTAATAAATATATAAGTATTTATATTATTTACTAAATATATTAAATATGCATAAGAAAATAAAATATTAATTATTTTACCAAAAAAAGTATATTTTTAGAAAATGTTTTCAAAAGATAAAAATAAAATAAAATCAGAAAATAAAAATGTATTAGTATTATTTTTTGGTATTTTTAAATAAAAGATATTATGTATTTATTTACATATATACTAAATGGAACAAATAAATATCAAATAAAATGCAAAAAATGTGAGAAAAATATTTTTTAATGTTTTTTCATGTTTAGACAAAAATATAAAATCAAAATCAAAAGGAAAAAAAATCAAAAATGACAAATATAACTCAAAATGGGCCAGGGGGTGTGTGTGTGTGAAACATTGGTGCAAAAAGGAAGAATAACACAGGCCCAGCCCAAAGAGGTTGTCTTCAACCTCCAGCAACAATTTTGTCAAAAACGCGCGCCTTTCCCACCTTGTTCAAACATCCTGATTCTTGGACTTTTAGCACAAACTGATAACACAAAAAATGTAGAGCATCATGTCACGAGTTCATACATATAAAAAACTTGATCTAACTCTCAGAAATGAGAGAGAATTTCTTCTCCCCCAATTTCTGACCTAAGTTTTTGTCAATGTTCAGGTCTTAAATTCTCTCAGCATATGCAATATAAATGGAAAGTGAGGATATGAGTGGCTTCAGGGACATGAGTATGACACTTTTCATTCATAAATCTAAACCTAACTCTTCCTAGATTGAGAGATAGAAGTCCATGAACTTACCTGTTCAGCTTGGATCGTGTATGACAATGGAGGCACTTTCAAGGCAATGTGAGGACTTGTACAACTTGCTTGAAGTTCAGGGATGCTTCTCCAACCTTTAGCTTGTCTTGAAACTAAATGAATCAAACTATGGAAGTCAACCTGCAAAACAGAAAAAGTGAAAATGGTGAAGTTGGTTAGGGGTGTTACAGTTCGTGTCCAATGCTTGGGATAGTTTGTATAGGTGGTATGGAGTGTGTATGAACTGGTTTTGGCTAAGGCGCACGAATGGATTGAGTTATGGACCTCAATCTGCAGGGATGCCCTGTTTTGTGCAGTACAATGGTGTTTTGAGGTTTAGGGAGGTATGGAAGGTAGTTGGCTCGTGCCTTAGCTCGGTTATGATGTTTTGAATATGTTCAACAAGTTTGTCTAGGCTTGTGTTGGCAGAAATGTGAGATGGATATCAATATGCCAAGTTTCTTCTAATGTAAGTCAAAAAATGCCAAGTGCTGTTACAGGCTCCTCTAGGCCCCTCAAATGTGCTGAAAAGCTTTGTCTTGATCAGTGGGATATGTCCAATAACTTGTGCCTCAGAGATTTTTCTTGTACCTCATGGATTGCAAACTTGACATAAAGTGTCACTTTACAAAAATGGATAACTTGCTTTTTCTAATTATGGACTAATCCTTCATGTAATGACCAAATGCATAGAATAACATCTTGGCACAATGGTTTAGCATTTAATTTTTGAGTGTAAATGAGATTAGAGGCCTGTAATGTAGCTTGCATATGCTGAGTTTGAAAATGCACAAGTTATGAACATGCCTTTGGCCATGAATCAAAGTGATTTTTGCTCATATTGCCAAATTCGATTCTCCCTAACCATAAGGTTGTTTGATGAGTTCTTGGACATTTTGGAAATCTTGGAATGTGTACTACAATCCATATTTGTAATGAAATTTTAAATTCCAAGTGGAAGCATGTGAAAAGTGGCCATGAAGTTGGGCAAAAATCCTGCCTAGAATAGGTCAAAATTTTTCTAAGTTAAGAATGTTTTGCACCCCTATTCCAAAAATCATAACTTGAGCTACAAGCTTATTTTGAGGAAACTTTGTGAATCAAAGTTGTAGATTTTGCAATGGACTATAACTTTCATGTTTTGAGTTTTCCTTGAATCCAAATTTATCTTGGTGAAAAAATGGGACAAAGTTAGGAAAAAATTAGGGATTTTCATAACTTAGAAAATTTCTAAGTTATGAAAATTCTTCATTTTAAACCTTAATTTGCAATTTTTGATTTCTTGATGAACAAGTTTCATAATTTGACATGTCTTGATGAAAAATGAATCTTGACACTTGATTTTGACCAAAAAAGTCAAAGTTTGACTTTTTCAGTATACAGTCAAATTTGCTCAGTTGACTGGAAAATTCATCTGTCAATCTTGTACATTTGGGATCTTTTGAATTTGTTGAACATGTCAAGACAATGCCATTGAGTCCTTGAGTCCATATGTGAGCTTGGTTTGCCATTGGCTAGGTTAAACAGTCAAAAATTGCTTTTGTGCAGTCAAAACCCTAAAAATGACCATTTTGCCCTTTTGGTGATCTGATCAAATTTCTTGTGGAATTGTGATCCAAACTTGATCAAATGGTCCATATGAGTTCATAATGTTGATGTGGGTAAAAAATTATGAGGTTTGACTGTCAATTGACCACAATTGACTTTTCCCCAATACAGCTGATTTCCAGGTCAACTGTCCAATTGACTGGGCAAAGATTGGAATCAAGGCTTGAAACTTAGTATGGATAAACTTGTGAGTCTAACATGAAGCATGAAAGTCACTTTGGGCCTTTTAGGTAAAAACATCTTTGTGCAAACTCAAACCCTAATTTGGGTCTACAGTGTAAGGAGAAGTTTTGAGCAGAGCAAGACCCTAACTTGATCTTGAGCTCCAAGGGTCTTGTGATGAGAAAATGTTGAGGAAATGGGAGGGAAAATTTTGGGGTACAACAGATGGGTTTTACATCCACCACATCTTCGAAT